TCTCTGCTTATTTATTAGTCTTACTATCTATTTATATATCCTAATTAAGAAATTTTAGATTATTATAAAGTATCTCTATAAGATACTATATAAAAATATTTATTTTATATAGATTAAGGTATATTAGATAGTTTTTAAAGAGATAAAGCTATATCTTTTAGAATTTTTCTTAGTACTGTCTATTAATTATAACTTTTATCTATTTTTTATTATTATTATTATAGATACTTCTATAAAAGAATAGGGTAGAGTACTTATATAGGTTTAAAATAGTATCTATAAGCTAGTATAATATAAATCAGAGGTTTAGTTAGATATTAAATTAAAATATAATACTAAAAAGTTAGAATACTATACTATTTTAAAGACTTTTAAGAAGTTCTGCTATTAGCTATATAGAGTATACTTTATCTTAGAAACTAATACTAATATATTAGTTATATAATCTGAATATATAGCAATAGCCTATTGAGCCTAATGGAACCTCATGGAACCTGATCGATAGTGGCAAACTATCTGGATGCTGTGGCAACTCTGGCCATTCTGGCCAAAGCTATAACCATTAATATCTAACAGTCACCTCAGGGGGCATACTGGGATGCCTGAAGCCTAAGGCTGACCCACACGCGCCGCGTGTGGGTCAGCCGGGGGTCAACAAAATTCTGCTCTCAATAATTATATTATTACTATTTTGACTACCAACACCACCACTACGATGCCTAGTCAATATAATGCAGTTAAAATGCGTATTTAAACCGCTTGTTCGGCTGCTAGGATTATAAAAAATCCTAATATCGCTGTATTGGCGTATGAATATAATGTTCTAATGCAGTATCTTCAGGCATGCTACCTTGGCCGTATATCTCACAGCACATGCTATATAGCCTATAGCGACTAAATGACAATTAAGAAGCGTTATTAGTAGGCTAGACCCGGTGCCTTAATAGCCTATATATTCTACCTATGGCTAGAATAGTAGTTATAAGCGTAAATACGTTACTATACAGGGAAAATCCTACCGTACGTCTGCTTAGCAAAGACTAGGTATATAAATTCGTCAATAACCACTTGCCAAATAACCTTAATTAGGTCTATCAAAAGCCTACAGATCAAAATCAAATTACTAGAGAGGATATAGGTATTTTGACTGTATAGTATAAATACCTAGAGCCTCTTATAAAGCGTATTCTACTAAAGTATATCTATAATTTTAATAAAACTAGCTTTACCCTAGGCTAAGGCTAGCTATAAAACATTATTTCAGCTAATCTAAAGCAAACCTAAACCTATTTATTTGAACGAGGCCAGTTATTAACTAAAATTAAATATATTACAGCCGATAGATAGAAGATAGAGCCCTATTTTATAGCTCTAGGGTTAGTTTAATTAATACAATAGTATAAAGGTAGTAAACTTTCAGAAGCTACTAGAATTATAGTTTCAGAAACTAGATATTTAAATAATATATTAGCGCTTAATTAGCTGGACTTTTTCTATATTGATACTAGGGAATACCTCCTAAAAAAAGAGAATATAGCCTAGGCTTCTGATTATAGATAGATACTATAGCTATCTAACCTATAAGTTTTTAGATTACTATAACACCTATAATATTATTCTATATTATTACCAGGCTTATATAACCTATCTTATTCAACTACTTAGTAGGTCTTTATTCTGTATATTAAAACAGGTATATTGAACCAAGAATAACCAGATTACTTGATAGGGTAGAGAGATATATAATATTAGTATTTTTTTTTAAAGAAATTATACAAATTTATAAATATATATTAGAACTATATACTATTTACAACGTATTTGCTATATGTGGTATATTCCCCTATAATCTAAACCTTATTATCAAGCCTTTAATAGATTTATAAACCCCTAAGCTAAAGCTTTAGATATTTAATAGTAATAAAACACCATAACTATAGGTTATATCTAGTATTCTAAGCTTACCATCTAAGTTATCAGCTAATATATATTAAATATACAATAAAGTAAGGGATTTACTTAACCATAATAATATTCCAGCTAATATATACCGCTAAATACAACGTATAGTAAGATTACAGGTTCGGTTAACTAAGGATATTGATCTCTTATACAATATATTAGAGAACTAATTACCTAAAAAACCTATAATTATATATAAATCCTAAAAGCAATTAGGCAAATTTAGTGCTCTGACTATTAAAGATACTATTCGTTTTATAAATAATCAAAAAACTAAGGATAAATCAAAGGAATACAATACGGCTATACAAAACCAGACACCTTTAGGTACTCCTGCTATACCTATACTAATTACTTTTAGATAAAAGTACCCGGATTATATACCGATAAACATTATAGATAACCCTGTTGCTTTTTAAAATATAATATTCATAGTGGTAGTGGTGGTAGTAGCTTGAACAGTAATTTTATGATTGTTGAGAGCAGAATTTTATTGACCCCCGGCTGACCTACTCCTAGGGGGAGTGGGTCAGCCTTAGGCGTAAGGCATCCCTGTTTGCCGCCTAAGGTGACTGTTATAACTAATCTACTATCTATATAATTGACTCTGCTACCTATATAATTAACTATAGTGCTAACTATGGCAACCTATATAATTAATTACTATTTAATGCTAATCATAATTAATATATTACGACGACTTATTATTGTGTGACCATTATTAGTAATTATAATGGTGGCCTGAGGCTTGTCAAACCTCGGGGATAAATAGCATCTTAATCTCCTACAATTCTAATAATATATACATCCATACAATACATCAATTATCCTATCTATTACCAACGAATAGCTTCTTATTAGATCATCTGATCTACCTATACTTCCCTGAGCCTAGTAAGACATATAGTCTTATATTCTTTAAGGCTTTACTAATAAGCTTATACTATAACTTTAGTATAAGCTTATAATAGAGAAGTTTTATATAATTCTTATAGGGGATTAGAGTATTATTAGTAAGATAGGTAAACTTAGTAAGAAAAACTATAAACTTATCAGTATCCTTTATATAGAGCTTTTTAAAGTTAAATTTAGTGTAGTCCTAGCAGACAGGGTCCCTATAGATCTGCTTTAGGTAGTTAAGGATATTATTACTATTATTAAAGATAGTATTATCATTATTATTATTTAGGATAAGGATAATCTGGTTATATATAGTACTGGTTAGTTAACTAGCTATATAGGTCTTATAGAGCTTAGGGATTAAGAAATAATCTATATTTACTTATAGCTTTATTCCTATTACTATATACTAGCTCCAGAAATTTATATTAGTCCTAGTCCTGTCAGTAAAGACTGGGCGGTTAGCAAACTTATAGGTTTTGGTCTTTGGTTTTACCTCTGGTACTTCTGGGTGAGGGGTATCATAGCTAAGGCTGAGTTCTCGTAAGAACTTATTATATTCTTATCAGAGTTTATCTTATTCTTGCGGTTCTTACACTATGTCTCTGAAGCGACTAATAGATCTGAAGCACTGAAAGCCCTCTAATACGGTTATTTTGATTATATTCTTATAGATCAGGAAATACCCAAAATAGACGAATCTCAGCCACCAAAGCAATCCGAAAGCTTGAAAAAAATGGCAGGGGATATATTCCTATCTTAGGCGTAACTATAAATATTAGAGCAGCTTAGCAGACTGAGATGTTAGAGGCAGGGATAGACGATATTATTTATAAGCTATATCGTATAAACGGATTGTTTAAGAAAGTAAACCAACTCATAGCACTTACGACAGATAAAAGAAGAAGAACAGTTATACCTTCTTGTTGGTAATAAATAGGCAAAGTATTTCCATCAGGCTAATTAGCTTTCAGCAAATTGATAAATAAGGAAATTATTTCTTTTAGTTTAGGTATATTTTCTAAAGTAATCCTAAAGTCTATAAAAGTAATCCTAAAGTCTATAAAAATAAAGAAATCAAGAACCTTATAGAAAGTAAATATTTTAGCTCTAACTATAAGAATAACTAGACTATAGAAGAAATATACTTTGAAGATAATAATAGTTATTATTCTAGTAGCTAAAAATATCTTTATTAGAAAAATTAGTAATAAGATAAAGTATTATTATTAATAATTTAATAAATAATTAGATAACTTTCATAACCACTCCAACCTCAGAATCTGCACCACGGAAACTTAAGCTTACCTATGTTGTTCGCAACTATAGGCCTAGTAAGAAGGCAACCTACGATTTATATACCCTTTTCTCACGGATATCTGCCATGATGAGATCCTGACGCAATTTTGGCAGTTTCTTATTTTTATCTTTTATTTATATTACGAAATAAGTAGAAGCGAAACAAGTATACATGAGGCCTTGTCTAACAATTATATATCACATCGCTATATTCCACCGTTATGATATCGTTTTTTGAACAAATATTTTCTCCTCTGACTCGGCCTAGGGTAGTGATTGGGTTATTTCGGTTATTTGGACGGGTTTTGATCACCGCAGTTTAAGTTTTTTGAAAAGAAATATGATGTCAATCACCATTAGCTATCTCTCCAAACTACTAGTACATGTCAAAGTAGAATACCAACAACTATGGTACTTAGGATTCGACTGAACAAGAAATAGAGACTCTGAGTATCCAATATGGTGAAAATTTCGATGTAACCTGATTTTCTTTAGCGCTTCACCGGAGATGGAAGAGAAATATGAATTGGACATAGGTTACACGGGGTAGTAAACCCTTTCATTCTATTCCTACATTCCAGGGCACCCATAATAGTATTAAATATCAATATCCTTGACTTCATGAATATTTCATCTGACGATGAAAATCGTATTCTGTGCCTTTTCCATGGTTGTAGGGATTATCATTTCCGTTTACGTTTTTATCAAAATACGTCTCTTGGCGGGAGTTTAGGTTCGATTAGGTGACTTTCTATTCCATCACCAGCCATCCATTGTCCAATTTGCCTGGTTGGGATATTATCTCAGCCATTGATGCCAGGCTATAATCTCACATCTAATTATTGAGATTCTGCTTGGTCCACCCTTGATTCTGGAAGCGATGAACCTGTCATAGGCACCCCTGTAGTATCAAGAGAATGGAGCTTGCTGTTAAATCTGACAATGCCTTTACGCAAAAACCTCATACAGGACTGAAAGAGGGGCTTCATTAACAGTAACGAACCACAGATTATAGTCATGTTAAGCTCTACTACTGTCCAAATTTGCGTTAAGGAGCTGCTGTCTATGTATAGGATTAGTACTGTACAGAATTATCAAAATAATGATATTTTGAGGTTATGAAGGTAGGAACCCACAAGTCAAATTGTCCGTCTGGTAGTTTTTAAGTTCCACCAAACGAAGGATACTGAAAATGCACACTCTGGAGGAAGGAGTTATGTTAGCATTGTGACCTCTAAATGTGATGCGAAGAGCGACGTACAAACAACCTATTGAAAACAGTAATGTAATTTCTATCTTCTCCTGGAGTGGAGTTTGAAGTTTCCGAACTATAGGCAACGGAAGGCAAAGAATAAAGACATCCTCTGCCACCGAGGCAGACCCAATGATGATGTAAAAGGTATTTTGTCCGCGCATACAATGGCCTTCGATGTGTTTAATCCAGAAGTATCGCACAGGCCAACACTGGAAAGTATTTCCAACAATCGCCGTTACACCCCAGGCGATGACGAAGGTTATGACAGCTCTGGCAACCTGTCTAAAGCGGCTAACGCATCCAAGCAATCTGTGAAGGAATAATACAATTGAAACCTTCACAAACACCTGGGCCGGCGGCCAAAACTTTTGCGAGATCCATTGCACCTAATTAGATCGATCAGCGTCGCTTTCAAAACACAGCGGATACCCTATTTACCAACGAGATCTTCAATCGCTGTTCTGGTGACAGGTCCCAGATCCTGGAGCCAGTGTTAGGTAGCAAGTTGCCCGGCTAGAATAATTTGGAAGCTTACGACTCTCCAACCCCAATTCCAAGATACGCCGCTAAATTCAGACTAGCCAGCCATATGTCCCGTCATATCAATGCGAAGAGATACACACAATACACCACACAAGTTGAGAAACCATAAGTTTTGCACAGCAACCCCATTCCCATCAGATAATCTTCGACACGCAATCCGTGAACCACAAGATATCGAGCATAGAGACGGAAAGTGAAGATCACTGTGGCGAGAGCTGTACTAATAATGGGAAGGATAATCAGGACATTTCTCCAGTAGTGAGCTAGATGTTTTGTCATTTCGATTTGTAACAAACAGAATTCGCAACTGAATGACCTGACAAGCGGAACCAAGTTACTTTCGCTCGTAAGATAGCAGAAAGTCATTCTGTAGGATCAATAGGCAGGTTGAGCCAAATTTCAAACGTTTTAAGTCCTGAGACTTGAGGTGTTATCGCAACTTGCGTTGAATATGTACCATATATGACTTTAAGCGTGTCAAGCGACCATATGTTCGTCCGCGGGAGACGAAATTATCAGGGAATAGAAATCATGCCGTCAAGGAATACTCGCCTGTCACCAATCAGCCTTAAAGGTGGCAAATGAAACGAATAGGAAATCATCGCCGGCTGTTTCGGAAGAAGAGACTAGACGTCACTTGTCTTCCTACACACGCAACAGACCGGGCGTGGCGACCCGCCGAGCCTCGCCGGTTTGGTCGGAAGCGGACACCATCGATTCTTATTCGCACAAAATCTAAACACCGCACCACGGCTCGGTTGACCGTCGAGATTGCTGCCGAAAGTTTTACTACGGTTATGTATAGATTGCGAGGAGATGCTCGTATAGACTCAGGACTAGCAAGCAGGTGAGTCTCTAATTGAGATAACCGAAGTCATACCACCTTACGTCATTATTGGCAATGAGAGTCGCACCGATGGACTTAGCTGGATACGACAACTTCGTCCCAAGCCACACCGACTGCTAAGCTTGCGAAATCTCCAGTTTAATGCCGGTGCCACATTGCAATAATCGAACTTATGGCTGCCCAGGCATTGGCATTGGCGCCGGACACATGAGAAACTTGACAGGCTCGCTGAGCTCTACAACCAAAGCATTCACCGACAGATAAATCTCAACGCCGCCGACATTACAAATAAACAATTGATTGACAACCTTGTGAAGGAATTCAACTCGCGCGAGCTGTTTCTCTTCATTTTGATCAAAGATGCTGAAATCTCCACGAGCGCACAAGATACCGAGCCTGAGAGCGCCGAAGAGCTCAACCAGAATTATTTGAGCGTCCACCAGGTAACCTCAGTGCATGGGTTAACGCTTTCCGCACAAATTTCTGTCAGCTCTTCATGGCAACAGCATTCCTTCCATTGCTCAATAAGGACTCTGAGTAAGAATATGGTCGGTCTAGTACCGCCCTCAATATAACCCCCGTCTCAGGAATCGTAAAGGTTTCACAGTATCTCTTTGCAAAGAATCCTTCCATCTCTGTTGCTATTCATTTGACTAAAATGCTGGCCCATGAGATCATGACCCCAGGTTTGCCAATCCATATCAATAATAATGCTTCTAGAGTTTCACGGGTGAGATGGCTACCAGCGATAGAGATGAGAAGCAAAACAGCTTCATTAGGGAATTAACTGTAAAAGATTGCTTTAGCTAGGCCGGAAAAGGATTAAGATATGACCAGTGCCATTCTTTTTGCCACTGCCAAGCAGTATCTGAGTGGGAAAACTGTTGCTGTTGATGGCGGATATGTTCTTGCGGCTGGGTCTCTATAAGACTCTTTACCTAATATTTAAAGCACTGTCTTGGCCAGCTAGATATGGTATATGAAATGGCGTATTGAATCTTATGGAAGGTCAATGCATCGTTCTGCAAATTTCTATGGCCCATTTCGAGAGTCCCTCATATGTAGTTTGTTAGTCAGATATAGGATTGTTTCCCTGACAGCTAAACCCCTCCAACGCGTAGTATAAGCCCTATAAATCGTTAGACCTTCGTCGGTCGCAAATTGCAACCTAGCCTCTGAGCCAGAAAAAAGCACGCTTCTTTTACGTAAATTCGAAGAGTTTCCCTCCCCAAGGTCCTTCATTGTGCTGGAAACTTCAGTCACCACTAGGATGCTAGGGGCTTGCAGGTCGGTATGGGTCTGCGATTCTGTACAGCCAGGTTCATAGCTAGAACATTGAATTCAGACCCACATTAGACATTAAGACACAATACGGAGGACCTCGGATGGTTTATATCCTTTTTGAAGCAGACGAAAATAAATGCAACAATATTACTGAGGTGGGTGGATCTGATACTTTGCTGAATATAGCTCTATGCTGAAGGATAGAGCTGTGCCGGATCCGCCCGACAATCCGGGACCTGCATTCGGTGGCAGGTCAATTCTGGCAAATGAAAGAAATCAATTTATCTTTTTGCTTATTGCACCCAGGGAGGCTAAATATTTGTCAGTACATGCTCTCACTCCAGTGGGTGGAGGCAATACTCGGTCGTCGGCTTAGTGTTGGGTCAAAAATAAGGAGGTATGGTCAAATGGCCCACCTGTCACGTCATGATGCCTGGTTGCTGCATCCTCGTGGACTTCCAGCATACGGTAATCTCTCGGATGCTAATTTGCGTATTGCTGACATACTTTGGCTTGGCGTCTAGTCTTGAAGGCAGTGTTTGCAGCGCAAGTGGCTCTTTGCTGTTTGCGGAACCTATGATGTAATTTATACAAGTTCACCAATCCCGTCGAGCTTTAATGCAGAATATTGATACTTCCAACTCAGATTCTGATAGTTGGACGTCTATATCAACACCACTCGAGCGAATGTCGAAAGATTGGCCAAAATCTCGCCGGCCAGGGTCTTTGAAAGAATCTTCACTATCGTGCAACGTGGGCCTGGCTGTCACCTTCGGCAATGCCGAAGAAGCACCAGAAGAGTCATAGGGAATCCGGGAAAAGAAACAAATAGAATATTGGGCATATGCAGCCTCTACTGGATATTATTTTCCATGGAGAGTCTTGACAGTTGAAGAAGGTCTCGCTTCGAAATCAATTCGTTTATCGTAGTTGCAATTCATCATCCGAACAGAGTAGGGTCCAGGGTTACTATATTTGCCTGACATCATAACCATCCGGTGGTCACCGCCATCACATTTAGATTATATAAGCGTCGAAAAAGCACAAAAATCCCATTTGACCTTTCTTGAGCATATGTGAGTTTCTTTCTCAAGTCGTGTAGATCGGTGAATTTTTCTTGCCTTTTAACAAGAAATCAAACTACCAGAATCCTTCAATTCGTCCGACATGACCCTTCAGCAACTTGAATCTCGCTGCCCAGATGGCATGGATGCTTGGATACTTGGTAGCGGTATTGCCTCGCTCACATCGGCCGTACATTTAATCCAGGAGGCTCAGATTCCACCCTCTCGAATTCACATCATTGAAAGGCTAGAGAAAGCTGGTGGAGGGTCAGCCAGCACTGGAGATTCTGTCAATGGGTACGACTATCATGCTGGGGCAATACCAGCATTCAATAATATTTACATGGAGAGGCTCCTGTCTATTGTGCCTTCCATTTCAGACCCAACAAAGAGCACGCTAGACGATATACGCGAATTCAACAGCACAAGGCCGCCTCACAAATGTCCAAATACACGCTTCCTCTCACGCAAGCCTTCAGGTTTGTTACGAAACAGTTCCAAACAAGTACGGATAGGATTGAGAGACCGCATATCTTTGTATAGGCTTTCCTCAAAGACAGAGAAGGGCCTAGGACGATCTCGAATTCAGGATCACTTCTACTCGAGCTTTTTCCAAAGTAGTTATTGGTTGATACTGGCTACTACGTAGGTATCTGTACTTACGCAACTACAATCATTCGGAGATATGCTGACCGATACCTTGCGACGGACAGTTTCGGCTTCGAACCAAGTCACAGTGCTGCTGAGTTCCGTCGATATGTGCAGTGGTTCAGAAGGGGCAAGCACGAACTGAACCACTTACGGCCGCTCGACAACGGACATTATAACCGCCACGAGTCTATCATAATGCCGGTCGCTCATTTCCTCCAGTCAAACGGAGTCGATTTCCGCTTCGGCACTACTATTGCAGATATTATCCTTGATGAAGCCCACCAGCGTGTTTGCTCTATCCGTACTGTCAAAGACAATATACCGGAGACAGCCATCGATGTCGGGGTCAACGATATTGTGATTGTATCTCTAGGCTCAGTGATATCTGGCGCGACAAGCGGAACAAATACCACACCACCGTCGCTCGAAATCATATGCCCTGAGAATGACCTAGACGAAAACTGGCTGTTGTGGCTAGAGTTATCGACAAAAGACACAAAATTCGGGAATGCATACAACTTCTGCACAAGGATGTCTGATTCCAGGCAGGAGTCGTTTACTGTGACGCTCAAAAGTCCAAAGTTCTTCGACCTCTTCGCCGAGTTGACAGGCGATGCTCCAGGTTCTGACGAATTTGTCACCCTCAAAGATAGCAATTGGTTGTTCAGCCTTAAGATCCCGAACCAACCCATGTTTCCTGACCAGCCGGCAGGAGTTCAGGTATTCTGGGGCTATGCAGTGTTCCTAGAACACAAAGGAGATTACATCAAAAAATCCATGCTCGAGTGCTCGGGTGAGGAGATCATGACTGAGATCCTGCACCATTTACAATTTCCACTGGAACCGATCCTTCGTGATTCAATTACCATCCCTTGTGTTGTGCCACGCATGGCAGCACCATTATTGCCAAGGGAACATTGTGATCGCCCGCAGGTTATTCCTGAAGGAATGACGAACTTGGCGCTAATCGGGCAGTTTGTGGATATTCCAAATGAAATCGCCGGTACGATGGATTATTATGTGAAAGGGGCACAGATAGCGGTGAATCATTTGATGGGTTTAGATCAGTACTCGGTTCTCAAGGATGACTTCTGCGACTAAGGTTCAGAAGCTGTTGATTACCCTATGGTGCGAACTCAATTTGATCATAAGATGCTCTATCTCGCTTACTTGAGTAAACCATAGTAAGAAGTTCATTTTACAGTAGTTGCTGAGACGCCGTGTCTATATTTCTGTAAGGGTGCAACTACAACCGCTTTGCTTGATAGATTCAGATCGCTCAGCAGTCGATTATTATTGGAAATTTCGGTTTCACTCGTCTTTTAGGGGGCCTGTACTACAGCAGGGTACACTCTTGGCCCTTTCCAGTTGTAGGACAGGGAGGCGTCCAAGGCCTTGCTTCACACCACCGGAAGCCTTGAGCAATCCCACCACTTTGAGCGACCTAGTAAGTTGCTCTGCGACATGGGGAAGCACCTAGCTCAGTGCAAGCTACTGATAGAGTCCTCCTTTAGACTTCACTCAAGTTTATTGCGAGGCTTTCACATCGAGACGATTGGCTGGTCGCGAGAGAAAAGGGTTGCTCTCGGTCCGCACTTGCAAATTTTAGAATATTTGTCAATGTATTTTCTCTGATCAGACAAGGGACATATCTTAGAGCAGCGTTTGCTGAATCTACATTGAGAAGGAAGCGGGTCGGGGTTGTCCAAGGATCTCAGCACAGACAAAACGCGCGTGCATACAAAACTTTCAGTCCGTCCTTGTCACTTGAGTAGACGGACGGCAGATTCCTCAACGAGAGGAACAAGCACATTTGATACAGCAAGCCTATATCCTATCTCTGACAAGGCTGACGCTGGTCGCGGTTGATCTAGATTATTGGATAGGTCGGGGTGGATAAGGCAGGCCTTAGACCAACACCCTAGTATAGCAGCTATCAACCTAAGCAAGCTAGATACTGGGTAATTGAAATATTGGTTGATTAATTAAAGTTTATTATTCTTCTTTTTCTAACTATAAATAGCTTATCTAATAATTAAAAATTAGAACTAAACTAAATTTAAATTAATACTATTATCCTTATAGAGTTAGAAAAATCTAGGGGAAACTATAGATAGGTTTGATAATACTTAATATTTAGACTTAGAATATAATATTATATCTATAGATATAGAAAGCCCAAATAAGAAATATAATATAATTTTAAATTTTATCTAAGTTGAGGCTATAATATAATACATTATAAGATTTTAAATTATTCTTAATATATATTCTTTTAAATAATACTTATTATACTAATAAATAAAGATCTTTTTATGAATAAATCTCAAAAAAAATACAAATTTAATTAAAAAATTCTAAAATAAAGATATGATAGTCTAAAAGAAGATTAATATAATTATTATAAATAATCTAGATAAAAAATACTAAAGTATTATCTCCAAAAAGCTACTATACTATAAAATATATTCTATATCTTATTAAAGAAATACTAAGATAAAAACCAATTAAACTTTATTATAATATTACTATTTTAACCACCAATACTACTACTATAATACCTAGTGTAGTGGGGGAATCGCTCTGGTGATGTCAGGTGACGTTATAGGCCTTAGGCCTTACAGGCAGTATATAAGCCCTCGATGATAGTTAACTTAAAAAACACCTTTCAGGTCACCAAGGAATTCTTCTTTCTACTGAGGCTAAGGTTGCGGTATTGGTATATCGCATATTCATGAAGACTCAAATGTCTTATTAGTCGCTTCTCGATAGCGTCACACTTTGTCTACTACTCTCCTGCACTCTTTGAGTGTGGTGGTTTTGTCCTCTTGCGATCGACCTGTCTGCCAATGCAGACTGCCATTAAGCATTCCCATCTTACACTAGTCAATATGATATAATTAAAATATATATCTAAACTACTTATTTAGCTACTAGGGTTATAGAAAACCCTAATATTACTGTATTAGTATATAAATATAATGTTCTAATACAGTAAATTTAGATATACTATCTTAGTTAGGCATCGCCATAACCCATTTTGGGTTAGAGATACCGACCCAAAACCCAACCCATTAGGTTTTGGGTTATAGGAGCTATATCATAACCCAACCCAAAACCCAATAGGTTAAACCCAATAACCCAGTAGGTTCCTATTTCAACCTATTTTAGCATAATTTATTCATAAATTTTATATAGTATATTTTAATACTTAATTTATATCTTTTTTTCTAGAAGGATTTAGATACTAAGATTTTACATAGATATATATATAGTATTAATCATTATATATTTAAAGTTTAGGACTAAAAAATACAGTAATAAAAGAGTTATTAGAAAAATAAGACTTTTTGTAAAGATATATATATTACCTAGTAGGGTATACTACTATCTTTACTATAGAGCTCTATAATTTATTTTATTTTTAAATATACTACTTCTTAGCCTTTTAATTTATAATATATATATATTAGATATTAAATAATAATAATATTAAATAAAAAACTTAAAATACCTATATATAAGGCCTAAAAACAGTACTGATATATCCTATATTTAAAAGCTTAGTATGTTTGCCTTGTTTACACTAAAATAGGAACCCACTGGGTTCCTAATTGGGCTAGGTTAGGTTAGGTTGGGTCCGGGTTATAGTGGGTTCTGGCAATGCCTAATCTTAGTTATACATCTTATAGTATATACTAACATAATTCCCGCCCGAGTAAAATACCCCACCAGAAATCACATATTCTTACCTACTTACCTACTCCAACTATCTATTATACCATCAAAACGTACTGAGCAAAAAGCAACCAAGAAAGAAGGCAGAGTCCTATTAGATTTATAAGCTATTTAAAAGGGTTAATTCAAATAATTCGTATAGCTATAAAGCAATTCGGTATATCTTATATTATCTTATCTTAACGGGCAGATAGCCTACCCTTATTCATTAATATATACCCAAACAGCCATATACTAACTTAATTAGAAGAGGATTTACTTACTGAATAGATTCTCTCTATAGATATATATAGAGCAGTACCTAGGCCGGCTACTATAGAAGAAATAGCTAATATCCTACTAGCTGTATATAGTAGCTAACCTCTGCCTACTGTTAGTAAGAATTAGCTATCTAAATTTATTCAACGTTATGATAAGCTATATACACTACTTAGTATAATACGACTATCAGTATATACTGAATAAAGACCTAAAATTACTATAAGAGTGGTTTTCTACTGTATAATATATTATTGATAAAAACAATATTTAACCAGAGGATATCTATAACTTTAATAAGATAGGCTTTATAGTAGGCCTTATATTCTTATAGAAGGTATTAACTTAAGCAGAATTCTATAGTCAGAGATATCTCCTATAGCCAGAAAACTATAAATAGGTATAATAGTTACTAAGTTATTAGGCTAGAGACCTATAACTAGGCAAGGATATCAGACAGTAGAGGTCAGACTAGGCAGTTAATACAGAGACTGATTCTTAAGAAGATCAAGAATCCTAAATACTTATAGGATCTTAAATATATTAGGGTTTAGGTAGATATTAATATATAGATAACTCAAAGAGAATTTATCTATAAATTAGCCTTAAGAGTCTAGGGTATTATATACTTTAAATCCTGTAATAATTTATTCTTCTTTCTTAGAGTGGGCTAACTTAACTATTAATAAATATTAGGATTAGGTTAGATAATCTAAGCTAAATAGTATTATCTTAGATAAAGGCTCTAGAATAGATACTGCTTTAGGTATATTTATATATAGATATAAATAAAGTAATATAATCTTTTTAATACCTTTTAAGATAAAAGTTTCTATCTTTATATTCTTAACTTTTACTTTTCTTTTATCTTTACCTTATCTTATTTCTTTATTTTATTATTAAATTATAATCTTTTACTATATCTACTACTATTAGTTTTATAGCTACTAAATTTAGTAGTTCTCTCTCTATAGATATTATTTATTCTATTAATAATTATTAGGGTAGTTATTATATAGCTAAAGATAAAGATTATACTAAAGCTAAGGATAGAGATAATAATAATAATAATTCTAGAAATATTACTAATACTATCCTTAGTCTTTATTTTCTTTATAATTAAATTATATATATTTTTATTTTATTTTCTATATCAAGTATATAGCTAAAGTAGTCCTTTGTTTTTTTATTAGTACTATTTGTATAATTAAACATAACTAAGACTATTCTAACTTAATTATCTATATTCTTTATAAAAAATAGTAAGACTTACTTTTAGGTATAATACTTTTCTAATTTATATTTAATTTAATACTAATTTATCTAGATATCTTATAGGATCTATAGTAATTTATACTAGCTTTAGTTAATTTTTAACTAGATATATAAAGTTTAGAATAATAGTATTATTATTATTATTAGTAGTAGTAGTACTATATCTATCTAAAATATAAAAGTAAGACTATAGTTATTAAAAAATCTACTTATCTTTTAGTATATACTCTATTTTAATATATAGAATATAGATTAAGTTATAGAGAAATATACTATATTTATTATTAAATAATAAAAGAGATTAAATACTAAGACTAGCTTATCTTCTGCTTAGTCTTTTAGTTATCCTAGTAATTTTCTATAGCTATAGATTAGTAATACTGATTTTAATCTCTAGTAGAGTATTATTTAATTCTTTTTCTTAGAAATTATAGTAGGGTTAAAGTATAATATAACTCTAAATAGTATTATTTTAACTTTAGCTATAGTATAGATTATTAACTAGATTAAAGTACTTTTAGATTTATATAGGCTTCTATAGTAGTCTTTATTCTTTATCTTACTTATCCTTTTCTTTTATAGTTAAATAGCCTTATTTAGCAGAAGTCTAATAGCTTTTCTTTTTAGTATTAATTTAGATATAGTTTAAAAGAGTTTTAGGGGTGTTTTATTATTATTAGAATATAGTTTTTTAAGTTTATTTCTTTTTTAATAAAGATATTATATTTTTTATATTTTCTAAATACTCTATAGGTTTTTATTAGTTATATTCTAAGGGCTATTTAGTTTATTTTATATAGTAGTATAGTACTTTATTAAAGATTCTTTTA